CTGTTTTTGTTACTGTTGTTTTTAAAAGGATCAAGAAAGGAAAATTATGCACAGCTTTTGGCGTCTGTGGTGGGCTTCAGAAATAGGGAGCTTCCAGTTCCATTTTACCAAAAATAAAAATGCAGAATGTCGGTAGTATAGTTGTACTGATTCTTGTGTGGATGGGATCGGGAATTACAGCAAGTATCACCGTAGAAAATGATGAGCGTTTTCTATTCCATTCCTCGTTAAAGGCCATTTGCAAATTAGTGTAGTTAAGGGTGGATCGGTGGCATAAAAAGCATATCTCCAGGCTTCGCCCCACCGGCCGCCTTCTCAGTAGCTTAACTCTCCTTTTTTTGTTCGCTCCTTTTATTTTAAAATTCTCTTGTTTCCCACCATAGAGCCTGATCCCAGGCTATTACCCTCGAACAAATTCTGCCTGGATCTGATCTGATCTGATCACGCAGTGTCATAAATATCCAATATGGTAGACTGCAAAACAATCGGTTTTTTCTTTCTCAAAATCAGTAAAGAAGTCGGTAAAGCGTGGCGTAAGAGTAATACGCGCGAGCCTCACACTCCGTTTTCAGCCTCGTTTCAGACCTTTCGTGTTACTGCTCACGCGTACTTGAATAAGCCAAAATCTGCTGACGGACAGTTTTGAAGTCTACATAAACATGCATACCGAAAAAGGCATATTAAGGTAAGATGTATCAAGTATAGCGAGACCAATAATAAAATTAATACATTATATCCCATCTAGAAACGTTCAGTTAAACAGTTGGCAGGCTCTTATAAAACCTTGGGATGGATTTTGTGGACCTTTGGAGGTGCGGACGCATCCGCTGCCTCCACCTGATTCGGATTGCGTCATGCAAGACGTACAGCCTACAGTGGTTTCGAGTTTTGGGTGCTTCGTTTTCGAGTTTTGGGTGCTTCGTTTTTGAACTTGGGTGCTTCGTTTTCGAGTTTTGGGTGCTTCGTTTTCGAGTTTTGGGTGCTTCGTGCTTCGGTCTTTGTTTTCGAGTGCTTCGTTTTCGAAACTACCGTTGTTTTTGGGCCCCTTTGATGCGTTCCCCTTATTAATATGCACAAGGGTCGAGTCCATGACGTCACCCATTGTTTTAACCTGGAGAAAAAGTGCGTTCTTCCATACTAATTAAGTGCCTTCCTCCATAGAAAATGATGTAGATAGGTTTACTAATGAGCGAATACTACAATAGGCACAATAGGCTTGCCTCGGCTTGCCCGTTGAATAACTTGAGCCCGGTTTTCGGACCGTCTGTTAAAAGGAAAATAGGAGCAATCACCTAGCAATGCGGAAAACGGCTTCCTATATCTTATTTAGCGCTAAAACTCAGATATATAAACGAAGCACACGCACATCTACACAAAGTGAAGCTGAAAACTCGCTATTTCAATTTTGTCTGACTATTACAGAACAGTTTTCTCAGTTCTATCTCGAGGAAATGAAAAACTATTGAAGTCTCAGCGTTTCACGCGCCGTTAGTCAGGTAATTATGCGAGTTCACAAGCCCACCGTTGCATACAAATTAGTTCTGCAGTTAAAACCCTAAGGGAGTATCTTGACGTATTATTATGAAAAAGCACACACACAAAAACAATTAATAACTTAACAAGGATCAATTGAAACACGCGACCAATAATTGCTAGCAATAAAATCAGACACGATTCTTAAGACAAAAGAAATCAACTTTATGGCCCTTTATTAAAATAATTGCAAAAAAGTTAGATTAAAGATTCTATTAAAATAGTCAAAGAAGGCAAGCCATCCTTTTTTTACACTGCGCACAATGTTTTACCTACCCTCTCCCTTTTCATTTGTTATTTCCCTCCTCCTCCTCCACAAGTTTATTTTTTCTCTCCTAATTTTTTTATTCCCTCCTACTCCTCCACAATTTCATTAATTTCCCTCCCCTCCTCCTCATCATCATTTATTCTATATATTTTTCCATCCACAAATACATCAACCTCCTATCGATCCTACATCGACCTTACATTGACCCTACATCGACCCTACACTCAACTTTTTTTGACACAGCTTCATGAATAGTGGAACTATATACCACCATCACCACATTTCTTTTGTTTTCCTCCACCACCACCACCATCGCCACCACATTTCTATTATTTTCCTTCCACTACCCCCCCCACCACATTTTCATTATTTTTTTTCATTCCCTCCCCCCCCCCCTCCCCCTCCTTTTTATTTTTTTTCCTCCCCCATCCCCTCTCCTCTTCCTTTTTTCCTTTTTTTTTTCTTTTCCAACTCCGCCCTCCTATTTTTTTTTTTTTTTCCTTTGCCTACCCATCTCTC